GGGGGGGGGGGGGGGGGGGGGGGGGGGGGGGGGGGGGGGGGGTCCCGTGGAGGAGTTGCCAGTAAGGCCGCGCGGCGAGGGGATAGTGTGGACGGTATATGGCGTCATCTACAAGGCTGCTGTCGCTGAGGAACCTATTCATTCCTACTCGAGACAGTAGTGTTAGAATGAAGTTGCCATAAGTTCGGGCATGAGCGAGGCATGGGGAAGGGTATCAGTATTATTCACCACACGAAAAAATGTCTCCCCTCAATACAATATCGTTAAAAGATCCCGTGGCCATCGCATCAGCGGCTCCCCCGAGAACGCTCACGCAAGTCTTTTCCGCCGCGTGAGGTGGAAGTTTCTCGTCATGTTCCCATCGGCTATTTCCATCGATTACGTGACGGTCGGGGAACACTCTCGCTTGCTGCTTTCAGGGTCACTTGACCATCTACCGTGTAAGTACCAGTTTCCGAGACGATTCTCCGTTTCTACACCGCGTGACAGACGCAACCAATTACCTGGCCCAATGAATGTTGATCTCACGCTTTCCTATATTATGTATGATAGCCTTGTCCGCCACCATTGCAATACACGCTCTCGTTTGGATGTTAGTATTGATTGGTATCATCGCCATCAAAAAGCATCCTTTGTTCATACGCGCTGCCGGAAACACCTTGAAAACACCTGGCCGTCGGTGGTACTCACTTCATTGCCTCGGCGGCGAAGTCGTACCGCCAGGGACGCCAGCACTGCCGAGTGGGCGAGCCGGCAGCCAGCCACGTATCGTCGGTCGCGCGGCCACGCCAAGCGTCGGAGGGAGGCGGGCGGGGTTCCAAGGCATCAATTCTCGATGAACCACATGTTGGTATCAATGAACTCTTTCACGACAGAGACACATTCCACAACACACACACACACACACACACACACACAATCGAACATCCTCTAGCTGTTGTTACCAGGGCCAAATGAACAAATACGGGCCCATATCAGATCGATTTCGGCCGCTGCCGTCGGCGAGTCGAGAGGTTCCAGGGGCGTTTCTAGCCGAGGGGGCGACGTTGGACAAACTGGACATCTATGTACTTTTACAACTCCCACTCTGAATGCAGCGCCGGAAATAGCATACAGGTTTGTCTGGTACCGAGCTTACCACACCCCGAGCACCCCGCCGGGCTTCGGGCTTCTCGCCCTGAGTTGCACCGCTCGACGGGGAACTGCTGGCCTCCACCTGCCTCCGGGCTGTCGCCGCTTCGGGGCCGTCGGGGGGTCTGTAATTGTGGGAAAAGTTGGGGCGAAAGTCAGCGCTTGGTACAAAGAGTGTCAGTAGCCTGCGTGCTGCTGATGATTGGTACGGACGGTGTTTTAGGACCATCAAATCCAGTCCGACATCCAACAGTGTCCCTGTTTGACCAGGAACTTGATGTGTACCTGTGACCACGCACTTGATTTCTACGTTCGTCATTTCTTGGCCTTCAAGAGTTATGCACGCGGAGTTCGTGCATTGAGACGGAGATATCACCTGGCGTGACGACAACAATATAATCAACAACAACGACAACAATTGTGTAAACGCTAGGAAAACTTGTGGGTGCGCTCGTGCGTGATAAAACGCTAAGTTGTTGTAGCGTTGAAGATGAAGGCAACGCACCGCACGGCAAGTTGTTGTGGAGGCGCGAATGGTTGAAAACTATACTTTAACTCAATTAGTGAGAGACATTTCGAGGGATTCACGAACGTTTCGAAAGCAAATACCAAGAACCGTGCATGACTCACCCCCAAAAGCCATCGGACGCTTGTCCAGTCTCGGTGTTGATCATGTGGCTGTGGAATGATGGTGTCGGCGAAGGGACCGGGCCAGAAGGAGCACAGTCCATCCTCTCGCAATCATCGCAAACGATCACATTTGACGAACTTTTACCAGTGTCAACAGGTGCACGGGTGGATCGGAGCGTGGGCAGAGCGGAGCAAGGGTCACAGCTCGTTTGTAACACGACTATGAGCAAGAACACTACAATACTATTCTCAAAATGGGTGAACACGGGTCTTCAACAGGGACACGATTCGACCACCTCGCGCTTCGAAACCGAACAAAAGCAACCAAGCAAGAAAAAATAGCACGTGCAATTTTCCGTTACAGTTCCACCGGTTGTCCCGCCGATTTCAATTGACCGGCCATAACTTCATCAATAATAGTTTGTTTGTTTTTTTAGTATTGATCTCCATCACAAATGCCACAAGAGTTGTTCAGGGACCAAATCGATTTGAGACGTTTCTGAGAATTCGTGGTTTTCGTATAGGTTTTTCCAGGCGTTTTTGGGAGGGACGGGATGAAACTTTTCACGGGCAGGTTTAGTACAGTACAGTATTTTTATTCCAGTATTTAACTGCGTACTAAAACGTCCAGTACAGTACAGTACCGAGAGCCGTGCTGCCAGTACAGTATATTCCAGTATCGAGAGCTGTACTGGAGAGTGCAGTATTTTTATTCCAGTATCGAAAGCTGTACTAAAGCGTGCAGTATTTTTATTCCAGTATCGAAAGCTGTACTAAAGCGTGCAGTACAGTATATTATGGCCAAAGGTACTGCAATACTGAAAATACTGGCAGTATTGTACTGTACTAAACCTGCCCGTGAAACTTTTCGTCCAATATCTCGATAACCACTATCGTA